CCCAACTCCATAATCTTGTGTTGCATCAAATGTGCCACATGTGGACGTGCATTGTTGTGGAGAAGAAGAACAGCTTTCCAATTGACAAATGAGGGGTGTTTCTGATGAAGGGCTTGATATAAACATTCCAGTTGCTGACTATAGATCTCTGTATTGACAGTTTGCTGTGGATTGAGGAGTTTGAAATGAATTACAACTTTGATGGCCCACCAAATGCAAAGCATCACTTTCTGCAGATGAAGTCCAGGTTTTGGGATCGGAAGTGGTTTTTGTCTAGGACTGAGCCATTGTTTTTGGCATTTAATATTCGCGTAGAGAATCCATTCTTATCACCGTTGACAATTCTGTCCAAAAATGATTCATGTGCATTACACATCAGAAGAGAAGAAGCAACATTCACACATTGGAAACAATGACCATCAGAGAGTTTGTGAGGCACCCAAACTCCTTTATGGACATTTTCCATATTCCTTAGATGTTTACGTATTGCTTCATGCAATTTCAGGGCCATTTCATGAGTGTGTTGCCTTGGGTTAGACTCAACAAGTGTCTTCAGAGCATCAATATCAATTCCAACATGTCGGCCCCTGCCATCACAGTTTTTAAGGCTAAAGTCACCTGAACGAAATTTGCTGAACCATCGTTGACACTTACAAATGTTCAAAACATTTCCATAAACTTCTTTGATATCCTTTGTGGCTACAGAGATGTTGTTTCCCTTGTATTCAAACAGCATTACATACCGAATGTGTGTCTCATCGTGTGACATCACTATAAGGGATTAGAGTATACTAAACTTTACACATTATATAGGCTACACTAATGTGATATTTACCTGGTGCATTTAACTATTATACGTGATGTACATTTTTTAGAAGGGGTAATGAAAATGTTCCAAAACGCAACATTAATTTCTTGACGAACTAATATACTGGTATGATGAGTTGTTTTTTGAATGGCAGCTTAGTTTCATGTACAACCCATTGTCTCTGCTCATTTTTCGATTTGTAAATGAAGATGGCTTCCATATACTCTCTCTCTTTCTAAAATATTTGTTTGTTTTTTTGTAACACAGAAACTTTTAAATGGGTTTTGATTTTCTGTGTTTGGGGTTCCATGTTTGTATACAAAGTGTTCTGCTGGAGCAATTTTGTTTTGGTCTGACATATATAATGCATTGATGTGTTCTGAGATGTGTGTGTGTGCAAAAGGTCTTCCAGTTTCTCCTATATATGTGTCTCCACATATTACAAATGATTTGATAGACTATGTTTCTGATGTCCTGCTCCATTTTCTCTGCTGTAGCATCATTTTTTGACACATTTTGTTTGTGTGTATAAAGAGTAAACTCAATTCTTTCAGTGTTTCATCTGTTTTTTGCATTATGTTGATTGTCAGTTGGGATTGTTTAGTATCTTTATGAATCTTGGTTTGTAATTGTGTTGTTTATTAAAGGAATGTTCAATATGTTGTAATGTTTTTTTTTTCTGTTATTTGAAAATATTGTTTGTGTAATGTTTGGGGTATCCATTTTATAATAGTAGTGTTTTAAAGTCTTTTTATGCTGTTTGAATGACATTTGGCATGAATCAGTTTTGATTTATTCTCTTTAGTTCTTTTATTGTTCCCCTTTTGTCTTGTTTTGGGTGGTTTGATTTATAATGGAGCAATATCTGCTTCTTACATTCTTTGTTATGCATGGAGCTCCATATTTGTCTGTCTTGGATTTTTAGGGTTACGACTGAGAACATTAAGTATCCTTCTGTGTTGGGTAGTTTTAGTGTGAACTTGACTGATGGGTGGAAGTTGTTTAGGAATCAGTAAAACTTCTGTAATGTATTTTTTTCCATGATTCCATATACCAAATATGTCTCTGTATCTGTACCAAACTTCTGGTATTAAATCTGTTTTTTTCTACATGGGTCAAGGGCTTTGGTTTCTAGTGTATGCATGAATATTATTGCAAATGTGACTGCTGCTCTGTTACCCATTGCTACTCCTTTCTTTTGTTTCTACAAAGTGTCACCGAATTTAAAATAACTGTTGTATAGGACAGAATTGAGCATTGTAGAGATGGTTTCTAATGTGATGCTTGCTGGAAAAAATGTGTTGATCACGTGAAGATGTGAAGTTAATGATACTATCTATGTCTTTTTCTGTGGATAGGAATGGGTACAAGGTGATTACATCTAAGGAAAATAAAATGGAATTAGCACATACTGTTTGTGTAGAAAAGTGCATTTTTTCTAAGAGGTCTGTAGTATTGGTTAAGTGTGATGGAACATACTTTAAACATGGTTTAACCAGTTGATCTAATAACCAGGAAATGGTTTCTGTTGCAGAGTCATATGCTGAAACTATGGGTCTTAATTGAAAGTTTTGGTTACGACATTTCCTCATCTTGGCTTTGGTAATGCTTCATTCATTTGCATTGCTTAGTAGCAAAACTGTGACTTGATATTATTGCTTTAAGTATGTATATAATACTTTGTATGTTCATGAGGGCTGGCTTGAATACAACTTCTTTTTGCACATATTTTTAGATTATCCATGTAATTGGCTTGATGTGGACACTTTGAAGTTCTTGTCGAGTTCCAAAACAGTACAACCTCCTCTCACCCAAAGCTATCTCAATCCTGGTCTGCTCTCTAAGCATTGCTAAAAAACATTTTGCTACCGTGCACCGGTCTTTATATCCCATCAGTTTTGCACCATTTCAGAACATGCTGATCATGTGACTATTTTCCACCAATCATATTACACCATCTATACTGATGCAGCCAATTCGCTCTACTATTCGGGACTCTGGATGATCAAATCATCATGATGGATGCCTGTCTTTATATTCCAACTGCTCCAGTGTCATGTTGTTTTCTTTGGTTCATCCACAGGGGTCATTGTCTTCCAGTTCTGGCCACTGCCATTCAATCCTTCTTTGGATCCATATGTTTTGTTGAATGGTATGCTCTTTTGCTCATCATTTTCATTCATGGGGTCTTTGACTCTCCTTTTCATAAATGATTGGCTTCTGCTCATCTCTTCCTGTGCCCAGTTGGTCAGTCACGCCTGCTTACTTCTTCAGGAAGCTAATCAGGTGGGGTTTTCTGATCCAGCTGGAGAAGTCCATTTTTAACCACTCTTCATATTTTATTCTTTTGGGGTTTTTTCTTCAATTCCCATCTTTGTCAAGCCCAGCCTTCTCCACTTTGGCTCAGGAATAAGAAGCAGGCAGTCTCAATGGCCCTGCCTTCTCCTTTATTCACTGCACAAGGAGATCTCTCTCTTTTGGAGATGTTGGCTTCCTTGAAAGCTCTCAGTTCCCTGGGTTGAACTCACATGCATTTCCTTCAGTGGATGCTTCTCAACTAAGGGAACTTCTTCCACGATCCCTTGGACCACCCCATTACCCTTCCCTGTGGGATCAGGGTTGACCTTGCTTGGTGGCTCAACAAGGAACTAGTCATTGTGGGAGTTCCCATTCCCCACTTTGTCCGGAGTCTCATCTGTTTACTGATGCTTCCTTGGTGGGTTTGGAACTTTTCTCGATTCTGGTCAATTGTCTGTCGAGGAGGCTATTCTTCATTTCCACCATCCTGGATCTTTTGGAAGTTAATTTCTTCCTGCTCCCAAAGGAGTAGGTAGATATGGTTCATTCTGATTATTCCACTATCATTGACTATATCACCAAACAAGGGGGAACCAAATCCGGATCTCTGTGTTTTTAGACTCTGGATCCTCTATACTGGGCCTACAATCACTACATGGCAATCTTACATGTTACGTTCCCTGTGTTATGAATCTGGTGTCTGATCACTTATCTTGACCCAACCAGGTTCTCCCCATGAAGTGGACCCTTCTTCCACAGGTATTTTGGTGGCTGTTTTCTCAACTGGGAACACCACATATAGATGAGTTTGCCACTCTGGTTCCACACCCTTTAGCTTTGGGAGTAGATGCATTCAGTCAAGACTGGAGGGGTCTTCACTTATATGCCAACCCTCTGGTCAGACTCCTCTCCAGTCTTTTCCCTTCTCCAGACCACTCTTTGTTGGGTCCTGCATGTTGCCCCATATTGACTTTCTCAGACATGGTTCCCTTTGCTCTGGACCTTACTGGAGTGACACCCCTTGCCCTAACCTCTGTTCCAGTCTTTCCTTTGACAACCACCATTGGTCATAGTTTATTCTGACATCACCAAACTCCATCTTCACGCATGGCTTTTGTCCAATCCTTTGACTCACCCCTCATGTAGTGTCTTTCCCATTCCATTCAACCTTCCTCCTTGTGTGTGTACCAGAGGTGGTGGTCGACCTCCAGACTTTGGTCCTTTCACCATATCTTCTGTCCCTCCTGTCCTTCGGTACCTCTTCTTTCCCTGGTTGTTTTCCTCCTTTTCTGTTCCTTTTGTCTTGTCCATCCTCCACGTCCCTTCGTTTTGGCATATTGGACCCCAATTTTGTCCTTCATGCCTGGTCTTATTCTCCATTTGAATCCATTGCTATGTGTTCTTTGTACCATCCTTCCCTTAAGACCTCTTTCTCCTCCTCCTTGCTTGTAGTCATCGTCATTTCAATATTTATGCCATTGATGTTCCCCAATTCCTCTAATGTTATCTTCTATCCTGATTGGTCCTTCCTTGCCTAGGCATCTGCTGCCTGGGCAGGTGGTTTGGCCTTCTCTCATATTTCCTTACCTTCCATTTCCAACCTGTACTCCCATTCGATTCTAGATAGATTTCTTTGTCCAGTTTGTTCCCTGAGACATTATGCGGCTCATACTCCTCCTTTCATGTTATTGTTCCCATCTGTTTGTTCCGAGGATTTCTTTTATGTCCTGTGATCTGTCCCCTATTGCACTCACTGGTTGGGTTTGTCAACTCATATGACTGGCATATTCTGACTTGTCCATGGAAGGTCACCATCTGCACAGTGTTTCTTCTCACCCAATTCGTCATCTAACTATGTCTTTAACTGCTCACCTTTGTAGAAGATTGTGGACAACTCCTAAAACAATGTTTGCACATTCTCTGCTGTGTCTTCCTTGGGTAGGTATCATCTTCCTCTTGTGGCAATTCTACACATGTCTGTTTGCCTTTGACTGGGGTAAGTGGCATATCACTTTTCCTATATGATTTTCGTTTAATACATATCGTATTTCAGGATCCCACCTGGTGGTGGGTGTTGCCTGGTCAGGTATGCTTCATACTTTATTTGCATTAGATATGATTAATTCTATAATGCTCACTGTTGAGATGGAGTATTTCTGTAAGACCACCAGCAGCTTGTCCGGTGGTATGTGTATCTATACTTTTTTAAACTAAAAGCTACTAGTTTCATTTATAAAAGACCATCACTAATGGATCTCATGACTAATGCAGAGGAAGATTTCTGCCCATCCCTACTGACCCGTGATTCCTACATGTTGATCTCAAATTCTTATGCAAGGCACTTCCAATGGGGGTTTTTGCCAGAATGGGCTGCACTTGGCATAATCCAACGTATCCCAAGGCACTTCCCATGGATGTTCTTTTTTGCTTGGGCAGGCCACATTTGCCTATTCAAATACATTTCACGGTCCTTAAGCTCTAGCCATATGTTGTTATTTAGTTTTTCTGTTAAGCTCATTTACTGGCTCCATACTATGTCTCATTATCACTATGTTCGGTACTACCTCTTGTTTCTTACAATGGCTCATTATCACATGGATGTGGACAGAGAGCTAGTTATGATGACCCTCATGATTGCACTCATAACAATATTTTATATATTTCATAGTCCTACATATCCAAGGCACTTCCCCTGGATATTTTTGCCTGGGCAGACTGCACTTGTTTGTTGCTATATCTTATACAAAATGTTTCCACTGGATGTTTGACCCAGTTGGACCAAACTTGGTGTAATCCAATGTAACCCAAGGCACTTCCTTCAGCACATGCGTATAAGGGAAAGTGGTTGCATACACATGAGTCTTTCCATGTTTGGCACTTCCATACTGTTTCAGTACTGTACATCTCTTTATTGACTTCAATTGTGCCTGTAACTTGTGTTCCACCCCAATTGTGTTACTGTATTGATTGCTGGGAAAAGAGCATGCCTGTTCCTGAAGTATTGCTGCACCTCATTGGTGTGCTTTCTTTTTGTATTCTAGCACACCTGTTCTTTCAGTGCAGTTGCTTTCTGCTTGATTTGAGATTGATGCACCTTCACTTGCCCCTCCACCTTTCCAATGTGGGATTCTAGCTTTGAGTGAGAAGAGGTAATACCGTTTTGGAAGTTAACATTTTCTTACTCTGAAAATGTATTTCTGATAACAACTTACCTCCTCTTCCTCCCATAGTGCCTGCCAATTCTCAAAAGTGAGGATTGTTCTAGAATAGTAGAGGGAGCTAGCTGCACTGGTATAGATGGCACCAATCCTGTAAGATTGAGGTTAGTGACTATAATTCACATTTTTATTAGGTTTTCGTGAGTTTTTGTTTTTGGATAAAACATTTTTCTTTCTTTCTCCCAAATGCCATTAGTCTTAACTATTGGTTTGAGGTACTTCATCTTCTTTTGGCATTTTAACCATAATTTTTAGGTTATATGACGTAATTAGAAAAATATGTTCTGGTACGTGTGAAAATATCGATGGATTTGTGAAATCTTCCACTTATTACAGAGCCACTTGAGTAAGACAACTTCATGAAGTAGATAAATTGAGTGTATTTCAACAACTTCTGCTCAGATGTTATGAGCCAAAGTCTGGGTGATAAGAATGTTATTGCAGCCTTGGACTTTTACTGCCTAGAATTGTTTATTACTACCCAAAATAACTTTGACTACATGCATTGCTTTGAGATGAAGATGTAATGTTAAAATATCATAAATTTTGATAAATCTAATATGTGTAAAAGCCAGTAGTCATTTTATGTGTGTGTAATGCTCATATTATGAGTTATTGTTAATTTCAGTTGCTCCATTCTTATTGATTTTTGAGAGTGTACGGGAAAACTTTTATTTTCTTAATGCGTGTTTGTTTTTCTTTTATGATGAAGGGACAAGTTTGGTGAATAAAACTTGCTGAAAGAAGGGTGGGGACTCCTGGGGACTTTTACAAAAATCCAAACTATTATTTTTTGATGGATTGGGTAAAAATAGTTACAGTATAATCTCTAAATACCAAAAAATTGAAAGAAATTTAAATTTTGTCTGAAATTGGAATCATAAAAGTTCCTCGTATTGGATATTATTTTCTAAAATATAATGAAACAGTACACTTAGCGAACACTGGATAATTGTTAGTTTGTGTGTATTATTTTGTATCCTTTTATAAAATTTTGAGGGCCTATTGTTTAGCATTCCACACTGCATATCAGAATGTTCCCAGGTTTGAGCTATGATGTTCTGGCAGACACATTCCACACTTAAAGCTGTGGTGAATTATAACTGTGACAGTCAATAATGTTAATTAATTAACAGTCATATAATAGGCAGTAAAAGCTGCTGATTCATTGCCCTCCAGTTGATTAGCAATTCTAAATTAGGAATGGCAATGCCTTACCTTTGCAGTTTTTGCTCTAGCTATTTAACCCATGTGTCACATAAGGTACTATCAATGTGGAAAATCTAGTACTTTATAAAATCAAATAACAATCTATTTAATTAATTAAAAGGGTTGTTTTAGTATGTACAAATGTTTTCCATATTACAGGAAACTTTTATAGTTTACGATCTCAACATGAAAAGGCTGTTCTCTATTTTCAACGAGCTTTGAGACTTAACCCAAATTATCTGTCTGCTTGGACTCTCATGGGACATGAGTATATGGAAATGAAGAACACCCAGGCAGCAATCCAGTCATACAGACAAGCTATAGGTATGACTAGTGATTATTCATACATATGAAAAATTATTTTTGTATCAGTGTCAAAAATCTTTCAATTAACTACCAAAGAAGTTGATAAAATTTGGTTTATAGAATATGAAAATTAATATTCAAAGTCTCTCTGAAACTTACCACCCTATTATATGTCATTTATCAATTAATTTTGTGTAAAATCAAATTATATTTAAAATAAAGGAATTGTTAAATGAATAAAATATAAAGTATTCTTTTTCAAATTGAAAATAATCACAAGTAATTAAAACAAAAATTAAAATCTTTTTCTTTTCTATATTATATACTTATTAAATGGATATATATTTTTTTTCTATTTCAGAAGTGAACAGGAGGGATTACAGAGCTTGGTATGGGCTAGGACAGACCTACGAGATGTTAAAAATGCCATTTTACTGTCTTTATTATTATCGACTTGCTCAACAACTTAGGTATATTATGTCTATATCCAAAATAAGTAATAAAATACTTTTATTAAAAATGTTTTATCATTTAATGAATTACTTATACTCACTTAAAAAGACACTTGTTGAATTTAAGTTGAATTGGATTATGATTGGATTTATCATACCTCTTCTCACACAATAGCTTTTCTCGATCTTCCACTGCACTCTAACACATTGAAAAGAAAGTTACTTCACTTGAAGCACTAGTCTTTATACCCCACTCATTTAGCGTGTATAGAGCATGAGACAACCCTCCCCTACACCAACGGGATCACAACACTCTCTTAGAGCAGCTGGCTCCCTCTGTACTACTTTACGTGAACCTCACTATCTCGATTGGCATAATATGAGTCAGACATGTTTCTCGCTTGCCTGGAGTTTTAATTATTATTTTTTGGACTTTGTTTTTTATCAGTTAGCTTTGCAATTTCTTACATTTTGGTGTGTTACTGTCTTTAATTATTAGTTTTACACAATTTATTGGGAATTATAAAATTGCAATTTACCATGATTACCCTCACACTTCCTGAAGTTACTGGTGACACAGAAACTCCTCTAATCCAGACCTCGAGATTGACGTTTTCTGCCAAGGAGGTGCAAGCCATGGTTCATTGGGAATTAGCTTCTTACATGGGGCCTGAGCCTTATTCTCCAGAATGACCAGTGCCTCTGCAGGCTGATGAGATTGTTCGGGGTGAATATGATTTAGACAGCCATTTTCCTGTTCCTTCCTTTGACATGCAACCACGTCATGCACATTCGCTTTCTACTCCTTTCTGCCAATTAATTACACAGGTTTTTCACATCTTCATTGTTTTTTCTGATGCCTCTCCTTCTCTTTTGTGTGAGATCCCTAACTCGTATTATTTGGTGTTTCCCCATTCGCCTGACATTGAAGTTCACGCTCAATGGTTTTTATCACAGTTAAGTTTGGGGGTTAGTATGCCTTGACTCCCTCGAGTTTCTGACAAACATGCTTTGGCATTTCATTGCTCTTCCAATTCTTATTTGGATTCCAAACTATTAGATCTGCTTTTACCCCTCTGGGGGGTTCTAATCCAGAGGCTTCTGTTACGTTTTCACAGGCACAGTTTTCAAGGATTTGTCTTACACTTACTAACATTTTACATTACCTTTTCTCAATGCATATTTTGTCCAAGGCCTTTCATTGCTCTCCTGACAAATTTTGGAGGACCTCAGAACCCTTCTGTGGTCAACTTTTTTGAGGCTCTCTTCATCAGCTCTTTCCCTACTTGGCTGCTTTGTTGTTGGGATTTGTTAAGGAGAGATGCACTGCTTGTGGGGATTTGTCTTCCCCCATTTCATCCCTCAGGGATTTAATGATAGCTCCATTTTTGTATGACACCAGTTTTTGGGGCCGTCACGATTCTTTGGAGTCCCACGTTAACATGGCCTGGTTATATACATCTCTAGCTTCCCTTGCTTATCATTTATCACAACCTTCCTCTTCCACAGCTCCTGATCCTATCATCCTGCTTCCATGCCTCGTCCTTTACCCGCATCTCGATGTTCTCGTCCTTATTGTCGTTTTTACCGTGCCTATCAAGAACATCCCCAGCAGTATGGGTACTACACAGTGACATCTGGTCCTGTAGGAGCCAGGCTCCACCGTTTTGTCGACATTTTGGAGACATTCACTACCGATCTGTGGGTTTGTTAGAAGCTCTCTCTCTTCACTTCCAGTTGCCACCTCCTCTTTCCTTGGCTCCAGTTTCTTTCCCCCCCTCCAAAGGATCCTTTCTCAAGTGGTCATCTGTCTAAAGTAATAAGAAACCTTCTTTTCAAGGAAGCTATTGAGCCAGTGTTTCCTGTTCATACGGGTTTTTACTCTTGGCTTTTCATTGACCCCAAGAAAATCATGAATTGGAGACCCACCATCAACCTCTCCCATCTAAATAAGTTTCTGGATCCTCCTCATTTCACCATGGAGTCATTTCTGTCTCTTTGTTGGTTTTCACTCCAGGTCTTTGGATGACCAAGTTCAACATAGCATACCTTCATGTTCCCATCTCTCCATCATTATGTCATTTTCTTTTGTTCCTCCACAAGGGGTGTTTTCCAGTTCTGGGTTCTTCCATTTGAGTTTGCCTCAGCTCCTTACTTGTTTTGTTACAAACTCAAGACTTTTCCTCAACGTCTCCATTCATTTGGGGTTTTGGTCTCATTATTATATGGATAACTGACTCCTTCCTGTCCAGCATCTTCTGACCACACCCATTTGCTCCTAGGGGAGGCAGATCGTGTGGGATGGTTAATCAAAGTGGGAGTCTTCTTCAATTCCCATCTCAATTGGGCCCAGCTTTCACCACAACATCTTTGGGGTCTGGAGCAGTTTGGCCAGCAAGGCTTTATCTTCTCATTGTCTTCCAACCCAAGAGGTTCTATCTCTTTTGAGGATGTGGGCTTTCTTGCAAGCTCTCATACACCTCAGTCATGCTCACATGCATTCTCTTCAGTGGGAATTACCTGATCAGTGGAACTTCAACTTGGATTCCTTGGATCAACCAGTTGTCCTTCCTTCTTCCCTTTGACTGACTTTGTTTGTTGATTGGACAGAGTCAATGGTTATGGTACCTTTTGACAACTCCAAAGTGGTCTCATACATCATCAAGCAAGGGGGGTACTAAATCCTAGTCCCTTTGGTTTTGTACTTTGGAGCTCCTATTCTGGGCCTATGAACACCAGATTCAGCTCTTAGCTTGCCATATTCCTGGTGCTTTGAACCTTGTTGTGGATCAGTTTTTGCATCCACACAAAGTCATTCCCATGGAGTGGTCTCTGGATCCTCAAGTTTTCCAGTGGTTATGCTCTCATCTGGAAACCCAACACATAAATGCATTTGCCACCCATCTGAACAACAAACTGCCATCTTTCGGGTCTCCAGTTCCTCAGACTTTAGGAATAGATGCCTTCAGTAAGGAATGGAGGAGCTTTCACATTTATGCCTTCTCACCTATACGTCTCCTCCCCAGATTACTCTCCCTCCTCAACTCCACTACATGTTGAGTTGTCTTGGTGGCTTTGTTTTGGCAGGCTTAGACTTGGTTCCCTCTTCTGAAGCCTCTACATTTGTCATTATCTCTGCCCCTCCCTCTGTCTTCTTCACTCCTTTATCAACCTCATCTGGACGTCTTCCATTCCTACCCTCCAGCTTCATGGATGGATTTTGTAAGGTCATTTGCTATACCACAGGGTCTGACACCCTGTGTTGCTTCTGTACATTCCTTCTAAGTCCAACCTTCCACATTGTTGGTTTATCAAAGATGTTGAACTATTTTTCATCCTTGATCTCCCCAACATGGTTTCTGCACCTTCCATTTTTACCCTTTCGTGGTTCTTCTGGCTGTTCAATCAGGATATTTCTGTTTCTACAGTTTCTGGATATAGAGCAGTCTTGTTGAACACCTTTCGTTTTAACAGGTTCTGCCATGTCTTTTCCTGTGCCTGGTTGGGATGTCAATGTTGCCCTTTTTGCCCTTTCCCAACTTCTTTTTGAACCTTTGGCTTCATGTTCCCTGTATAAAGACCTATTTCCTTCTTTTTCTGTCTTATGGTAGTTGTCGGTCTGACCTTTATTGTGACTGACGTTTCCTGCATCCTTTATCATAGTTCATATATTGTGCTATACCTGGACCATTCCTTCTTTCCCAAAACTTCAGCTGACCATGAAAGCAATTCTGCCTTTGTACCTGCCTCCATCCCATATTTAATCCAGGTCAGATCCGAATTGCAGTCTGTGTCCTGTGCAAACCATATGGTGTTATGTGGCTCATAGGGCTTCCTTTCATAGTTCCAGTTTGTTTATTCAATGAAATCCTTTTCATTCACATGACCTCTCCCACATCAGCCTTATGGATTGGGTTCATCAGCTTATTAAGTTGGCTTACTTTTCACTCTCTTGAAAGGTTGTCTTCTTTATCATGTCTCATCTCATCAGATTCAACACATCAAAATGTCTCTAGCAACTCGTTTTGTCATCCACTGGAGGAGATTACCAAGCTGGTATGTGGACTACTCCCCATACGTTTGTCACCCATTACCTACACCATCTGCTGTGTCTTTCTCTGATGGATATTGTCTACCTCCTGTGGTGATTCTACAAGGACTGGTTCGACTTTAACTTGGTTAAGTGTCTCTTTTGATGTTTTGTTTCTTTCAGTGGTCTCATTTTGCTTCAATATACATCTGGATCATGCTGAGAGGTGAGTGCTGCCTGGTCAAGTATGCTTTCCTATAAACCCGCACCTTTACAGAGCCCTTTACATTTACAATGCACACTGTTGAGATGGGTTGTTCTGCAAGATCATTAGCAGCTTATCTAGTGGTATATCTAAATATATATATATATTTTCTCAATACATAGAATTCTGTTAAGTATTTAGTAGACTGTCACTCATGGACTATCATGAGTAAAGCAGAAGGGGATTGCTGCCTGTCCCTGCTGTTCCTTTGATTGAAGACATCAGGAGTAGTCTCCTTTTCAAAATAAGGTTTTGCTGTCATCCATTGCACTTTCTCAGGTGTGATGTTCCTCTAGACTCCCCAATGCCTTTTATCCTTCCTTTCCTTGAATGGAGTTTTGGAGCCCTTGCCATTTACCAGTTCCTAGCTGCTTGAGTGGTGGACCATTGAGGCTTCCTCATGAGTGTAGAACACACATCATAAAGTTCATATCTCTCTACTCATTTGAAAAGAGGGTACAGCAAGAAACCCTCCTTCCTTCTACCTCCTGGTAGTTTAATCCTAGGTGCTGATGTTTATGGGAGCTGGACCAGCCAATGCTAGATCCTCTTCATAATGCTGGATTCAGATAGATAGCACCCTGTTTCTATGGCAGAGATTGGTAGATGCCCCTTTCTTGGTAATTCTGATTGTAGGATGTGTCATTTCCCTGCCCCTACGGTTGTGCTCAGGGGACTTCATCCACCTTGTAACATCAGTTGCGAGATGTACAAATGTCTTGTTCCTATGGTTGGGCAGGTGTTCCACATCCTGCTCATAATACCAGGTACAGGATGATTGCCCGTTCTTACGTTTGAGATGAGGTTTACATACAGCCTCACAAGTCCAGATTTCGGAATGTTATACTTCCTGACTTGTGTGATTGATTTGAAAATTTGTCTGGTGGATTCCATTTGATTACTTCATCATTGTCATTCCAGTTGCTTGCAATACAGCACTGTGTTTACTTATATGTGGGGTTGGTGAATATTTTACTCATGGTCTGCTTGCCTTGGCCACTGTACACTGTATATCCTGATTTTATTCTTCTGTGAGGTTCTGCACCTTGTAATTCCCGAGAATGAGACGTGTAACCTCGTCTGTACAGTTGGAGTTGAGTAGATACTTAGCAATGTCTAAATGACTGCTTCCATCTTCATAATTCCAAGAACTGGCTGTTGGCTTTCTGTTTTTCCATGTAGGTTTGGAATTACCCCTCACCCTCCTTTTTTTATTTTCTTTATACTCTTGTGATTCTTATCCTACTGAATTCGGTATGTTTCTGGCCATGTTTGTATAGTTGAGTATGGAGTGAGACTCACATTGATTATTTACACATGATACATTGTTTTTTGAGGGCATAGAGCATACCTGTTCCACAAGTGGTGTGGTCCCCCATGTGTGCTTCCATTCCATTACAGAGCACACCTGATTGATTCTCTACAGATGCTTTTTGCAGGGGGTCTCTTGTTTTATCCTACACCAGTCTCTCCACCTACTCAATGTGGAATTCTATCTATTGTGTGAGAGGAGGTATGTATCATATCAAAAGTTATCATTTTCTTACACTGAAAATAGATTTCTGATAGATACTTACTTGTGTTCACACACTTTCCACTCTTCCTTCCCTTTTTGGTTGTTTTTTTTTGTGGACCTAATTACAGAAGTGAGGTT